ATCCTGGCCAAAACCAGCCTCAGCAGAGTTTAGAAGATGTAACAGTTTATCGATGAGCTACAGTCGTTCCAAAGAGCTGCTAAGTTTAGAGGCATTGGGTTTCAATAAAGTCCTTAAATGATGGGGCTCATTAGCCCCCTCGGGTGAGGGAGCTCAGGCCAGGGCTGGTAACAAGCCCTAGAGCCCGGAGTATCCATGAGACTGGAAGCATCCTTGTGAAAGGGGGAAATCCTCTTTCCCATGGAGAGGCCCAAAATCTTATTTTGTCCTTGCAATGGTGCAAAATGCAAAGAGGCAACTGAGCTGTGTTCACACCTCTTCATGGCTTCATGTAGAAACAGCATCGAATAAAAGACATGAGCAGTAAAATTTAAGCAGCTTTCTCTGGGAAATATTTAGTGCTCCCAAGGAGTTACTATTTTTCAAAGTTAAATCTCTCATTCTGTTTCATTTTTCTTTTCAAAATTCCCAGACCAAAGGAAACTCTCTATAGATTAGTACACCCCCAAATTTTCAGTATTTCATGTTTGGAATATGAGAGGGAGAAAATCTCTCTGAAACCTAAATATTTTTCCCCTCCAAAGACCAGACCCATTTTGGGGGAAAATATGCAAAAGTGTTCTCCTTGGGCTGAATGTTGTATGCAGTTTCAGCTTAACACACGGTTTTATGGCAGATGTGGAAAATAATCAAAATGGGGGATGTCTGGGAATACTGGCAGATCTTTACTGTGACTGCAGAGCAGATCCTGACACACTATAATACTGTTTTTGTCTTAATCGTCAAAAGTAAGCTATAGAGAACAAAAATTCTTTGTTTGACAGAAAAGCAATTGCTATTTCTTGTAAAATATATAATATATTCCTAAGACCTAAGGGTTTACTTTTCAATAAGGATAGAAAAAGATGCGCGCCCCACTGTGAGCTCACAGTAAGCCTGTTTCATGTAAAAAGTTGGTAATTAGTCCCTGAGTGAATAAAGTAGAAGAGCTAAGAGACTGATACTTACTGTAGAAACACAAAACACTTTTTCTAGCTGCTAGGATTTAAAGGGTGTGTGGGTGGGAGGGGGGGACCTACTCCTACTCATTTAATTTACAAGCATCTGAACTTCAGAAAATGATTTCTTGCATTAAGCTTAAACATGTGTACTTTAAATTGTTACTAACCGATGTAAAGATCGATAAGAGACATTCCAGTTCAAAAAAAAAAATAACAGGAATGAGGAATTATGTGAAAGGATAAGGGATGTCGTGCTGTACACATCAGTAACAGATTTCACACTCATTGTACTGTCTGCCTTCAGCAGCTACACCAGCATTGCTTGGTGTCTCACCAAGTTAACTCCTTAGCAGTCAAAGGAAATACTTGTAAAACCAAATCTGTTTGGCCAGAGTTCCATAATAAACACTGAGCACAAAACCAAACTCAAACCACAGGAAAACCATCAACTTAAACCCCAACATTATTATTTGTATCACTGTCAACCAACACTAAGTACCACCAGTGAAAACAGTACCATTTCTTGTTCTACCCGCATAATTTGAAGGTACTGGAAATAACTTAATATTCACATGTTTTCCTTTGTTACTACTCATCTTAACCAGAGCTACAGTTTATGATTCTCTCTCAAATAAACACACATAATTTTTATTGCAATTATGGGTTCAGCAAACGTATTTTTGACAACATATAACTATCCCAGGAGAGCTTGAGAGATGACAGTGGAGTTTTACACAGTGCTCTCAGCACATGTCCTTTGACTTCTCTCTGTTCAGATTGTCTCATTTGCTTAACTGCAACATTCACTGTTAATGGATATGAGATAAGAACACACATCAAAAGTCATATGCAGAGATCTTGGTCACTTCACAGAGACTCACCCCAAATCAGGTTGCCTCTATGTCCCTACTATGGTAATTGCAGTCCTGAAGATATCTACACACAAATGAATTATGTAGTGATATCCTAAATTGTGATAACTTGGACTGTCCCTGATTCAGTATAGAAATTCAGGAAAATCTACATATTTTCACTGGTTAACTAATAATATCTTGTTTACAAGCACCGAGCCTCACCACAAATAGCAAGAACTTGTTTAGAGGAAAGACATTAAAAGTATTTGCCCAGGCTGAAAGTGGCACAGGAGCCCAGAACTACTTTTGTTTACTGTTAGTATAAACTGGACTTGTTTCTAAATCTTAGATGCAGTGCTTATGTTGCCACATAGAAGGAACTGTCCTAAGACGAGGAAACAGACCAGCACAGACCTTCCCCTGCAGTTCTGCAATGCCCATGGGACACCCTGAGGCCACACTGCACCCATGCACCCACTGCCAAAAACCACTGATCCTGGGTTTGGGGATAATATATAATATATAAAATATTATGCCTCCTCTTGACTTGGAGTATGGCATCAATACAGCTAAAACCAGAAGAATATTTGGCTCTAAAAGACATATTAAATTCGCCACTTTTGTAGAAAAATATTAAAAGTTTGCAATTCTCTTTGTTTCTTCCTTATCTCTGTAAAAATTTATCTTGTGATTTTTCAATAAATATCTAATCCACGCAATAACATTTAAATAGAGGGTAAAAAATAATAATGAACTTGGTTTTCCAAGAAGCCAGCACAATCTCATACACAGTATGGCTCAAAATAGACAGAGAGTAACAGAAAGATGCCCTTTGAATTTGAAGGGGGTTGAATTAGATAACAGTTTGTAAAACTTTCTGACTTAGTTATTTTTACAGAGGAAAAAAGTTCCAAATACTGTTTCTGAAATCATACATTTTACCTTGCTGTTAGACAGTTTAATCTCCAGCATAGTCCCTGTTTTCTGTGGGAGTTTTTATGTTCTAGCAATTCATTCATGATTATATTTTGCATCTGAAACAACCTATTTAAGCTAATTGTGATAGGTGATACTGTTTCTTTGTTAGCTTTATAAAAATATGCTTAGAACACCCAATTTTTAAACCAGGTTACACTAGGTACAAAATACCTTGGGAGTTTTCTGTAGGTACATAAAATAATAAACAGCTATATTTTATATCAGAAAATGTCCAGTGTAGTACAGGAAAACATGATTATCTAAAGATCTCCAGAGACACTGGCAAAAAGACTTTGGATAAATGAGTTTGAATAGCTAAGGGACCAGGCATAGCAGCTTTGAAGTTTCCAGTCCTCTTCACTTGGGATAATGTAAAGCTGAGACAATTCTTGTTGGACAGCCATCACAATTTCACTATTACTGGCAAGTTCCTTAAGTCAACTAGCAAAATTCTGGTGGATGTTATGTCCCCAGTTCCCAAACAAGCAGCACAAATCCAGGAGTCACTCGCTTCATTTCCACAGTGAAACTGGGACAGGAAAGAGGCAGGCAATAACAAGCCCAGCAGGAAGCACTGGCCCCGGTTCACGCAAGAGGGAATCCAGCATGCAGCTGGCAGCCAGCACATTCCAGAGGGGCTCCTGCTCACAGCCTGGAACTTGGCTCTGGAGGCTCTGCGTGCTGCCACCGGCAGCCACCGGGACCCTTGGCATCTTTCCTATTCTCTTGTTCTAAAGACAATGTTTGCCTCCCCCAACCATTTCCCTCATGTTCCAGCACAAAGTTATGTGCAGAAACCAGTATTTGCTCTGTTTAAAGCACTTCTAGGAAAAGCTGCAGTGAGACCCAATTTACCCAGCCTCCCAGGCTCCCGATGGAGTGGGTGACCAACGTGTGTTCCTGTTTTGCAAAGGAAAACACTCATTTCCCCACAATCAGAGGCTGGCATTTACAATGAACCAAATTCTGCAAAATTCTCCATCTTCTGGGCTCCAAAAATATCCACAGATGAACAGATTTGTCTTTCTACAAAGTGAATAAGCAGCATAGTTGTGCCCAGTAGCACCATGCTCTAGCCTTACAAGAAAGTGCTACAGTACTCTACTGATGGTAAAAATGATCAAACACAACCAAAACAAGCTCTCCCAGCAAGTGCTCTCTAATCAGCTCCCTCTTCCTGCATTAGAGCAGCACTCTAATTTGCAAGCTTTAGAATAACTTCTGCATTCACCAGACATATTAAAAGACAATTTCATCCGAGTGGTTTTTACACAGGGGAGCAAACAATGAGAAGATAATATACTGGCATTTATCTTTGACCAGCATTTCCAGAGCTTGAACTTGCTGTATAGAAACAGAAGATAATCAAACAGAGGCAGAGTGAACAAACTGTACCTGCCGTGCTGATGTAAATGCCCCGTTGTCCAATACCAGAAAAAAAAAAAAATCAGTGTTGGATTTCAGAAACCATATGCAGGTTAAAGGGTACCATTCTTATCTAGTATTCCACCCAAAGGACAATGATTTCATTTTATAAAGATCATTAGTCAGTGAAATATATATTTTAGAGAGTTTCTAGTAGGGAATATTATTTTGGCAGTCACTGGAGTGTACCAGATGGTTCATTAACATAGGCTAGACAAGTCAAAGGCTTTCAGAATCATTTTGAAAATGTCAAACAGAAACAAGAGCACTGTCACTTTTTATTAGAATTAACTACATCATACCCTGGACACAGATTTCACCTTGGGTCAGAAAAATTAATACAGAATTATATGAATTGTGTAACATAGTAGGTTAAAGATAGGGCTTCCTCTTGGGACTCATTTGCTAGCAATATATTATGGTCTTCTACTTTAGGAATCCTCAACCTTTCTTTTTGTTAGCTATGAAAAGAGCTGACCTTGCTCAGACTCCATTGGTGTCTAATTGATTTGAGGTATATGCAGAATTTCAACAAGACACTCCACTAAAGCTCTTTTGTGATCATTTTCCCAGGAAAGTTGGGAAAAGGGTTCACTGAATATTCAGCAGCTTGTAAAGTATGCTTTTGTCAGGAGGCAAAAAAATACATCCATTTAGTGAAACACTGACTTCATAAACAGGAATTAAAATGCAACTGAATTGTTACCTGGGTTTTTTCTGTCTTTTTTTTATTATCATTCAGATGTCAAAAACCTCGAGAACTTCCAGCTTGTGGAAGGTGTTCAGGAACAAGTGAACGCTGCTCTGCTGGACTACACCATGTGTAATTACCCACAGCAAACAGACAAATTTGGGCAGCTTCTCCTGCGACTACCAGAAATCCGGGCCATCAGTATGCAGGCCGAAGAATACCTCTACTACAAACACCTGAACGGGGATGTGCCGTGTAATAACCTTCTCATTGAGATGCTGCATGCAAAGAGAGCATAAATTATACCCATTAGAGCTTCTGCTTTCAAGGAAAAGAAATTATTCTGAACTGCTCCGAGCAACACTAATTAAAACATGGTTTTAAGACTTTGCAAAATGGTGTAATAATCAAATACTAATAGTAAATAAGTGATGTATCAGGGTATTTGTATTGCAAACTGTGAATCATATGCTACACATCCCCAAAGGAATCTATATAGGACTTTATACTGGAGTGAACTTACCAAGTGGATACCATCACCAATGTCAACAAGAAAAAGGACAGAATGATCATTGTATATTTAACTCTGCTGATTGCCAACATGAAGAAACCTAGGTGAAGAAAAACCTGATCTGTATTATTGAGCTAAGATGGTGGGGAATTTGAGTGCACTAAATTCCTTCACTGCATAGAACTCATAAAACAGTTACAACAGATGCAAAACTGCATCTACAGCATCTTCTGTCATCCTTACAGGGACCCAACGCTTACTTCTTCTGTGCTAAATGATGTGGCATCCATTGAACAAGCTGTAAGAGAGAGCTGGCCTAGGCCACGTGCTGTGGCTGTGGCCACCAAACCCTCCAAGTCTGGGCCTGCCTGTGGGGCCTGCAAACGGCTCCTAGGAAGAGTCTGGGATCCAGTTAGCTTGGCATTCTTAACTGTGCTCTGAAGTTTGTTTTGTCACGTGTTCATGTTGTTCTACCAGGCAGTATCCCTCTTCTATTGCTCTTATCAGATAGCTGTTAGGCAGCTAAGGAAATATTCCAAAATAAATTAACCAATTCAACTGCATACTCAACCAGCTGCTAAAAGATGGCTCCACTATATATTCATGCCTGTTTCCAAATAAAGAAAATAGAGATATTTCAGCCATCCCAAACAAAACTTTCTTTGACAAGAAAACAGAATTAGAACACCAAATACTGATGCTAAAAACCCAAAAATAAATTTTTAAAAGAATTTTGTGATAAAAGAAGTGACAAGTGAATTGTACAACTGGATGATGCCAGGGAGCTTATTAAGAAATGATCTTTAAAATTGCCAGTAATTTGGAAACTAAATTTCAACTCAAACATCCAATATCTAACGAAACTTCCTGTTTTCAAAGTTAGGTAATATACCTATTTTACGCAAAGAAAGAAGAGTGATACTGCTGTGTCTATGTAGGCCAAAGTCTGCTGCAGAACAAATATTAGAAAAGAACAAACACTTCTCTCTCTGTCCAAATGAAGATATCAGTATTAACATGTAGTGCCACATTTATAAGTCTTGCCTTATTTCATTACCCTTAAAGGTAACTGCGCAGGTGTAGATCAACATACATTTCAAATTAAAGTATTAATCTCTAGCATTAACAAAAACATAGTGTTTACATTCTTTAGGTCCTGTGGGGAAAAACTGTGATAAAATTGCAGAGCAGTGATTTCCTTATTATTTCTTTTAAATTGGTAATTATTTTACCAGTACTTAATTACTGTATGTCGTGAGACACTAAAATCAATAGGGGTATTTCATTTTTACTTTAATTTTTGAGATTATTGGCTGCACAATCACTTGTAGAAACTGTATAAAATCCTAATACTTTACTTTTTTTCATGAAGATTGCTGGCTTTTGAATAGTTTATTTATATTGTATATGATAGTTTTCACTGTAGACAATTATGATGCTAATTTATTGTTCTTTGGTTTCATCTTTATATAAGATATAGCCAGAATGAAGAAGCCAAATATATGTGTTTACTGTAGCATGTCTTCAAGTTAGTGGAACATAGTTCAGGGACACAGAAGGGTCTTTACAAATTAAAATCATTCACTTGATTAAATGTCTGTAAATCTTCATAATCCTAAATGTAGTTTATTTAAATCTATTGTAAATTATGTGAGTTGTAACTTTTTCTGTTTCATGTGAACTTGAAAAGGTGCATTTCTCTCACTTTTGTCCAACCATTCATCCATTGTATACCAAAGACATCAGTTATTACATCTGCATTAGTACGAAGCACACTATTTAACTGCCTGTATTAATCAGCTCTAATATTCTGTCCATGCATAGGGTACCAACACAGCAAAGCCAAGTGTCTGCAACTCCTACATGCCTGTCTTGTACCACAGCACACACACACTGTCCTACAGACCTCGAGCAAACCGAGCATAGCCCCTCAGCATTCCCCAAGGCAGAAAGAAACATTATTTAAATACCAGTGCTCTCCCTCAAACAAGTGAAATTAACAGAATAGTAAAGATTGACGTGGCTGTGAAATACACGAACAAGATAAGTGTGGTCATTCTTTCCTTTCAGAAAGAAAAGCAAAGCATTAATTCAAGTGTTTGCATTCTGTATTTTCTCTTTTTTTTCCTGTTGAAATGCTACAGTGAACTTCACCGAATATTAAGGAAAAAGCTGAAAAAATATTGCTAAATATTCATAGCACCATTATCCATATACAGGACAGAAGAATTAAAATAAGAATGTAGAAGAAAGGAACAATTCATGAAAATGCTTTCAGATAATTGAACTTATATTTGCCCACATCCAGGGTTCCAAGAATCCCATCGTATTGCCCGAAGTACACGAACAAAACAAAACAAAAAAAAAAACCACGAAAAGAACCCGCTCACGTTAATTGTTAACTACTTTGCAACCAAGCATTTTCTTCTGACTGCCTTATTGATTACAGGATATATTAGTAAAAGCAGACTAAAATTCAAAAAGGTTTAGCTTTGGCTGGTTTATTATAGTTGTTCTGTGTTTGTAAACAGACAATCTGTAAAGTCTGATTATTTGTATTACAGATGTTCTGCAGCTGCCTTGGATTTAAATCCATGCAACTCTTAGAATGTGCAGTGAGTTACTTGTTGAAGTTGAAGTTCTCTTACTGTATCAGTGAAATACATATTGTCATGTCAGTTCTTGCCAAGAGTTTCTCATCACCAATGGAATTATTTTTTTCAGTATTTCAATAAATATTGATATGCCCGTGCTGATTACTTTATAATTGTCTTTATAATACCATTGTTCCACTGAAATGAAGCATCAGTCAAAAATCAGTTACTCAGAAGAGGAGAGTAAAATGAAGGAGAAATATGAGCACCAAAGAGAATTTGATACAAGTGGAAGACACAAGTGTAGAGCACCTTCAAAAGCTCAGACAGCAATGGTGACATTGCCTAGGCTGAAGCCAAGTAAATACAGCTAACACAGGTTAGAAAAGCTGAATCTCTAACCAGAAAGAAATTTACTGCTTAATACTTTAAATTAATACCTTTGGTCTCATACTGCACATATAATTTTCACTTTACATGTACCCACAAAGAGTTAAGCAGCCAAAGCATCAGGGAGGGAAAATGGCAGAACAAAAGAAAATCAGGTAACAGGATCCAGCAGAGCTCAGGATAACCTCTCAGCAATGTAAATACATGACAGGGCTAGGGGCAAACCCACAGCTTCCAACACAACTGCCAGTGCAGGCTGCCAAGGAGACAGATGTTACTGCTACTAGAGGAAAATATTTTCCTAAAGTTGCCCTCTGGCTCATTTGACTGCTGCTCTGAGAGCAGGAGGTGAAGTGGTCCAAGAGAGCTTGTCAGCTGTACCCTACTGTTCTGAGACCCAGTCCAGTGCTTCCCCTGAACTGCCTGGTAGTAGAAACAGGGCTGTTCTCTCAGGTGCCAAATGTTAACGCTTCAGGGGAAAAAACAGGGCTATAATTAGTTATTTACAAATCCTGCACTTGAATGAAACAAAGCTGGTTTAGTGTTGCAATAAAAGCAGAGTAAAACACACAGGATTTGGTGGCTTATAAATGAGGAAGGATTATTTTAACTTTTAGGAATCATAACAGAAACCCATGGTTTTGCAGAGACCCAGGGGAGATTTCAGGGTTGATGTATTTTAGATAGTTTTCCTTACAAGAGATATATTTTGGTGAGATATATTTAGTATACACACTACATGTTTAAAGTATGAGGGGATTTATTTTTAACTGAGTTTGACACTGCTTCTGGAACAATCTGCTGTATGTTTTTATTGGAAACATGGAAAGAGTGAGTTCAATGTAACACAGGTCAAGCCAGTACAATACTTGGTGATCTTGACAATTTCCTGGAATACTGAATAACACTCTATTAACCCCTACATTGAAGTCCATAGTCTAAATACATCACAAGAGTTCTAACAATATTTTTACCTTCTCTGACAGAGTTGCTGTTTTTTTCTAGGGAAATTCCATATAGTTGCATCTGTAGGAATTTGGAATGGCAAACAGCATTAAACTAACCAACAAACCAAGAAAGTTGCAGATAAACTTTTAGGGGCAGATCCTAGAGCTGTATTACACTATGATACTGGCATGAGCCCAAATACTTCTGTGACAGTCAAGCAAATTCAGTTGCACTTGAGTAGAAAAAAGATTCATTTTCTAAGGGCAACTTGTCAACAAAAAAAAAAACAAAACATTTCCTTAATGACGAAGGCAAAAGGGGACCTGACCCTCAGATGGAGTACACATCTGATGCCTACTCTGATGCCAGTGGATCTCAGCAGAAGACAGCAGCACTAGAAGCTACTTGATAGTTACAGTCTGGTCTGGCACACATTGGTGGGACAAGATGTAGATTCTCTGCATCAAACACACTTTGCAAACCTTTGGGTTTGCTCCAATACATAACAAAATTCTCTCTATTTTACTGACAGTTTTGAAGTCTGGCATGCAAGCTTGGACTTGCAACAATAGGTGAGTTTTCACCATTGCCCCAGGAAGGCCCTGACCCATTTCCATTTCACTGTAACTTCTCTAAGTCCTATGTTAACTACTGTAAACCTGTGAACGTCCTGTGTGTGCCCCAGGGGACAATTCAGACATGAGGTAAAGCAAGGTGGTGGAACACAAGCTCCTGATGCTGTCTGTATTCATGGAGGCCTAGACCACTGCTGCCCTGCCTCAGCAAGGACTGCAGGGTTTACCATTAGTTGCTAATAAAACAGAGGCCAAAACAAACAGCAGTGGAATCCAAATTG